TGTTCCATGCCTACCATGGTGTTTTTGTACAGACAGCACTTCAGACAGCAAGTATGCTGTAGTCGGCAATCATTCGTTTTGGTACAGAGTGGGACAGGTAGGGGGTGATGTTGCTGTAGTCGAACGGTGAGACGGACGTGTAGTTCAGTTTTGGGCACGCGTACGGTGCTGCAGGGATTATATATAGGTGTAGTAGTACCTCTTCGGGCTCTTGTACACCTTTTTCTTGCTACGTGTGCGTGTTCTTTAGATCCTCAGATGGCTCTAGCACTTTCGTGACCACGGGCCGAGAGTCTTTGCTAGATTTTGGCATTTAGCAACTGGCATACGGTTTAATGTGAAGTCAACAACAACAACAACAACAACAATTCAGGGCATGTCGCTAAACCGGGACCCTCAATAGCATCTAGCGGTCGTTGAACCGGGAAATAGGGTCATTTCGTGGGACTGTAAAGAGGCCTTGTTGCAGAAATATTTTGATCGGGTTATGTAGACTAAGCGTCGTATTGCAGCAGTCACATGAAGGTAGAGGAAAGAAGAAGCACCTTAGGGTGGACAACCGGGGAGTAGCTCCTCTACTGTATTCATTCTAGTCAACCAGCATGCTTGTTGTACACCCTCCGAAGTTTGGAGGGTGCCCTTTGTCTTTTATGTTCGCGCATGCAGAATAATCTGTCCCTACATGTGCCTAGATCAACACACAAACACAAACGTAGAAGTCTCATCTGCGAACACTGAAAAAAGACAAGGCGAAGAGGGGAAAACGTTTCGGCAACGTCCCCCAAAACACAATAATAAAACACCTCTGCATGGCACGGAGAGAGTTCGTGAACGCCCAAGTGGCAAATAACCTCGCGCTGCTAATGACCTCATTCTGTTTCTGTCGCTTGTTACCGATCATGTTTAGCTCAACATGTCTCTGATGTCTATCTGTCGCGCTGGTTTCGCGGAGTGTGCTTCGATGAACAGCATCTTTGCCTTGCCAAGATGGTACGCTGCCTCGCTCAGTCCACGACTCCTCACACTCTTGAAGCGATCCAAAATGCTACGATAACTCCGAGTAGGGCGGCGGCGCCATCACCTCCCCACCCCCCGCACCGCCAACTTCTTGAGCCCTATCTACCTCTTTTTCTCTTTTTCGTTTAGTGGATTCGAGACGGGTGGGGAAGCCTGCATGTTCTTAGATGCACACTCGTGGCAGGTGCGGTGCATCTCGATGCCATCGAGAACCTCCACCTCCCCACACGTCAGGTGCAGGCGTACACCGCAGCCACCATGGCAAGCATGCCCCTGGGGTGCCCGCAGTTCCACATCCGGCTGTTTGCGCAACTCTCCATCGGCGCACGGCATGTTGCGTGTGTGTACGTGTCCCGCGGTCTTGTGTCTTTGCGTGTGGATGAACGCGGGGACTCCGCAAATTTGAACCGGTGCTCGCTATCGCCCGCTGAAAACAGCCCAAGAATTCGCTGTTGAGGGTTCGACCAGTTTAGCGACCATGTGGTCGCTAAACCGGGGTGCAGCGGTGTGACGAGTGTTTTGGGTCGCCAACCAGGGCATGTCGCTAAACAGGGGGTCGCTAAACCGGGGTCCCCACTGTAGTCCACAAAAATGGGGAGCCCGTGGTCTCAAAACTCGGCACATACGACGCCGCGGGAAAAAAAAAACAAAAATAGGGTACGAACCACTCTGAAAATGAAAACAAAATGATAGAAAGAAAAGAACAAACAGGTACCGCACCGACCGTTCGAGAAAAGGGCCCTCGGAAACCGATCAAAATAGAACAATGACAAAAATATAGGAGGACGCTTCCCACACCCGCCTGAAATCAAAGGTTCACGTACCAGCACCAGGCAATACGCACCAGGGCATGGGAGCAACGGAGCAAACAGAACAAAGATGCGGCAGAAGGGCAGACAGCCAGATGTATAAAAACAAAAGCACCTGCAAAACGGAGTTCAAGGTACCCAACATGGCAGAGTAGGGAGGGCGGCTGGAGGCCCTGTTTTGGAAGGCGACCCGTAGACGTTTGCCTTTCCTTAACCGCTCGAGGTCGATACGGATCCGGCTGCTTCCGCTGTTTCCCCGCACTCGTCGGTTGGGTGCGACACGGGGGGGGAGACGGACAGTCGTCAGCACGAGGTTGTGGTCAGAGTCTTTGAAGTCGACAAGTTTGACGGAGACATTACGCACGAAACGCCGGTCCGTCTGACGCATGAGGATGAAGTCGAGGCGGTACTTCTCCTTCCCCTTGTTGGAGCTCTGGAACGTGTGCTGCACTCCACCTTTCGGTGTCCGGAAGTAGGTGTTGGTCAGGGAGAGTTGGTTGTCTGATGCCAGTCCAAAGAGTCGTTCCCCGTTGTTGTTCATAATGTCGCGTCCGTACGCGCCCATAATCTTGGCATCGCAGCACCCGTCTCGCCTCCTACCAGTGCGTGCGTTGGCGTCCATTAGCACCACGAGATGGTCACGGCTGTGAACCTCCCGGATCGCTGCGTCGAGAGCAGGCCAGGAGTCCTTGGCGTTAACATCACCGCCCGCGGTGGTGCGGACAGTTTCCGTGGGGGCGTATCCCACCACGAAAGTTACTCCGCAGGTGCGGCCAATTTGTAGACGCACCTTCATCAGCCTCGGGCTAATGCACTCCACCGTCCTACCTTCCTCGCCCACACTCTCCCACATGGCCTCCTTGATCGCTATGCCCACACCGTGTACGCCCCTCTTGTCCTTGGTGCCAGCACGGGCGCCACTCCAGATGATCACGTACCCGTCGTGTGCAATTGAACCTTGCCCTTCTCGTCGGGGCCCCTGAAGTCCTATCACATCACAGCCGGTCGCCGAACAAATCTGCATGACCGTCATCACGTTGTGACCGATGGGGTTCCTACCGCTGTAGGCGAGCGTGCGTACGTTGAACGTGCCGAACGATAGGTCGCCCTATCGTACCTTCTCTTCGCAGCCGCCTTGACGGCCGCTGCGGTCTCGTGTCTCTCTCGGTCCACCTCGCGTTGCGGGTGTGCTGTCTTCCGTATTTTCCGAGCGGCGAGTTTCCTCGCATCAATCCATGTGTGCAGAGCTCGGTTCTTGCCTGTGGTGTTTTGACGAGGAGGGTGCAGCACTCCCTCCCCGCGGTGCCCGCGGTTGTCTCCCTCCTCCCGCGAGCGGTGCTCACGACGTGGTGTTTACGAATCTCTCTACTCCTCCAGCTTCGTGGGCCACGCTTTCCGCGACGGTGGGTGCCAGGTGCAGTTTGCCGCTTTGCATTACTGCCGCGGGAACAGTGTCCATACACACCTCTCGCCACTACCACCGTCTGTGCATCCTCACCGCCACGCTGAGCCAGCGCGGCGGTGAGTTGCACCTTGGGACACCACCCGCCTACTATCTGTTATGGCCTGGTTCGCCCGCGAGGGACTCTCTTGGTAGATTTCGGCCCCGGCCGGGGAGCAGGCCGGGGGGGAAGGAAGTGTGTAGGAAGGCGGACGGGGGGAGATGTTGAACGAACTTCGGTCGACACGGGATTTTGCTGCCGATTCGCAGCCAGTGACAACCCAGTGACTTGGGCCAGCAAAGATGTGGCGTCTTTCTTTTGGGGGATTTACAAGCGCACTTTGCTTCGAAGGGGGTGGATGGGCCGTCAACGACCAACAAATATCTCGAGTGGGTAGTCTTTCTGTGTATTTTATGTTTCCTACAATAAAGACGACACTAGATAATTGAGAACCTATGTATAGTCGGCATCCCCTCTCCAGCCTTCTTTTATTCTGTCTCTCCCTCGCAATCTCGCTCGCTCGAGACCAACGGAGTGACATGTCATGGTATCTTTGACGTCTTCTGTTGTACGTTTCAGAACGTCTGTGGCGGACGTAGCCATGGCGGTGGATTCCCTCTGGGTTCTGCTTGGGGCTGCGATGGTCTTCTTCATGCAGGTGGGATTCAAATTGTCGGGGGTGTAGTAGGATGCGCTACACTACTGCTGTGCAGTAGTACGCATATTTTCGTTTCTAGAAATACTCCAAATAGTGGAAGTACAGCAGGGATTTTTTTTCACGTTTCAAGAATGACGAGCAGCTTCAAAGTAACCCCCACACCTACCGCCATTTTCGAGTAATCTCGCCATCCGGAGAAGTCGCACGCGGGTGTGGAAAATAGTTGAGAGGTACGCATGAGATCGTCAACAATTCCCACGTATGCATGGGTTATCGAGCGATCGCACCGGGGTGCCAATTTCTCTGGGACAATCCCCGACTCCGGGCGTGAGGGTGGATATTCGATAAGTTCTGGGTTATTTCATGATCTCGCCGTTTTGTTCCCGGCTCTGTACCTCTTCATGCTGTCGTTCGCATGCTGGTGGAACGGTCTCCGCAGGCTGGCTTCGCGATGTTGGAGGCGGGCTCGGTCAGCATTAAGAACACCAAGAACATCCTTATCAAGGTCCCTTCATCATTTTCTCATGGATGATTCCTTTTGGATTTGAACGAAGGGGGGTGGTACCTAAGAGGCTGTGGTACACAACGCGTGTAGTGCGTGCAGCTGTCGCCGCTGTTTCCGAGGACAGCAATCACCTCGAAAGGGTAGTCGTCCAAGATGTGCCGGTATGTGTCAGAACCATGCCGTCGCAACACCAGAGAATATGGCACCAAAAAAACACCCTTCTGTTTTCCTCATCTACCAAGCTGAATCAGAACCTACGGGGGACTGACCGCACAATGATGCACTTCGGTTGCAGCGGCATCATCACAAGTCTTCGGCGGAACACATTGACATCTGCTGGGGATTTAGTCGTTGCCAAGACCGATGTCATAACAATATCCACCCCGTGACCCCCATCCAACTCACCCCACCCCTCTCCGGGGAAATCACAAGAACACAATCGATCACTGTTCGGTTGGAGCCCGATCGTGGCCTTTGAACTGCCCGACGGGGAGGCCATGCCCGAAGGGGAGGCCATGGTGTGGCAAAGAAGAAACTATCTGTTTTGTGAAGTATACGTACCACCACGCACATCGAAAAGAAATGAAGAAAAGTTCCCGAATGTAGCAAGCGCCAGTTCACGAAGGCGGTGCGTTTATGTATGCATATTGTAGGAGTAATTTAGGTAGGTGGTACCCTGTCCAGCAAGAGGCACGCGCAGTAGCCAAATGTCTTCAAGACATTCCCCCCCGGTGTTTGCCATCGGGGTTGGGTTTTCGTCGCTTGGCAACGACGTTGTGAAACAAGCCAATTCACTTCGTGAAATCGGCAACCAGGTTCCCGTTTTTTTGTTTTTACCGCTGTTTTTTTTTTGGCGGTAACCATAATGGTGGTCGAGTAGATCACGTTGTGCGGGTTTGAGAACCCTCACTCCGCGCAAGGGGGATTATCGCACCACGTTGTGTTAAAATAGTCAAGCACCCTCAAGGCAGCTACACAGTGCTTACAACTGTCTCAGGAAGTGAAAGCACCAGAAAATAAATTAAGTCATACGCAGCTGTCATCCGTACGCAAGGAAGTAAGCACAAGATGCCGAACACCCTTAGCAGGATGCAGCGCACCCTTCATGCGACTCGCCGAATATCTCACGGCGCTTCGCGCTTGGTGATGTGAGAGCCTGGTCCGGTGAGAATCCGGCGTGACCCGTCCTGGCTTTGTAGGGATGCGAGGTCAATGGTCTAACGACTACGGCATGCACGACTATGAGTACACCCCCTCCCCCCCGCCCTCCGATCCCCCCATTGGGATTGGGTTTGCGTCGCTTGGCAACGACGTTGTACAACAAGC